CTAGGTGGGGCTATCGATAATGATAATATTAGTCGAACCAAGGGAACGCAAAAAAAAGGAAACTCCACCTTTCAGAGCTGATCAGCAGCTGACCATTGTTGAAATGCTTACCGCTTTACAAAATCGTTCAATTTGTCTACTGAGTCACGAGTGTAGTAAGTACTAGTTCGAATTTCGATATTTGGTAATATTGGACAATCTAACATTCTAAAACTCTAAAATCTAAGATTATAAAATTGTAAAATTCTACTAATCTAGAATCTAAATATTCTAAAATTCTTAAATTGTTCAATTCTTAATCGCAGTGCTTTTGAGGGTATCCCCTAGTACGTATTTCTGCAGTATATCTATATATACTACAGTGTGTGTAATATATCCCTGAAATCCTGAAATCGTCATATCACTGTGTACGTATATATATGTATATATATGTTACAGTGGAAATTGAAATTTCAATCTCCACTGGTGCAGATTAAAATATAAATGCCTGCGTATGTGATAAAACATGGATTTTCATTAATTAACACTTCGAAGAAGAAATTTTAGTTTCCAAATTAATTGAACAAGATTACAATATCCGGATTTCCAGACGCAGGAGTGAGCGTAAAACCAATATTCCAAGAATAACGATCTGAAGCACTATCATAGCATTTCATACTGTAACGGCTCTGTAATAATGCTACATTTTCGCTCACTCCCACATCTGGAAACCTGCCGGATGTTGTATTTTGGTTTTAATATGGGCTGTGATGCTTATAGTGTCCTCCCCTGTTCCAAGTGTGGATCAGGATTTCGCGGATTTGTGAGACTTCAATATCATCTCGTTATAAGATTAGGCAACCCTTTGCCAGAAGCTCCAAGAAAAGTCCTTCACATCTAAACCATAACTACTAGCGATCAGGAAATTGTGTAGATTTGTAGAGGAATGTTCAGTGGTTCAGTTTGAGCTCTCTTGTTGGCATCCAAAACAAAAACTTTTTAGTGGTGAAAAATCTTTCGGAAAATGACTCCGCAAGATATACGAAATGCAGGTGGTAGTTTTATTTTTACTTTTTCATAGACTAACAGCCCCAACATTTCTCTTTCCATTGCTGAAGACCGCAGGTCTAGCTATTTTCGATCAAAAGTTATCCAAATACTCGATTCTACTCTTTTTGAAAACTACAGTAAAGCTTTTGTACATTGCTACTATTGACTTTTCATTCACTGTTTTATTTGTCTAAACAATTTCTGTATAACGAACAGTGTTTGAATAAGAAAACCGTTCAATTTTTTTGGCAAGTATTGGTCATGTATACATTCCGAATGGAATGTAGTGGCTCCGTCCCCTCTTCACTAAATAAATGATATATGACAAACGGCTGATGAATTCTTAAAACGCTCATCATTCATACTAAATTAGTACTAAAATACTAAAAACTCGTCACCTAACAAAGACCTGTTATTATTTTTTATTTTTATTTTATTTCCTTTCCAACAAGTTTCTTATCTTCTGTTTAGATATCTACATTGACTCACTCATTCATCCAGCTTTATGTTTGATATAGAAACAGAAGAGAGAAGAAACAAAACGTATCTTACAATATATTATTACAAGAAGGTAAGTTATTCACTGACTAAAATAACAGATTTTTCATTGCGTAAACGAACAATGTTTTTTTACACGAATTTTCTAAAGGTCATCGCACAGTTCTACTGCGCTTTTCTTCGCGTAACAAGTTAACAGGTTTTGAATACAGGGAACCAGCAATCTAGAGAAAATCATCTGAAGCCATTCCCAAGCTCACCGTAAACTATGCCACAATATTCTCCAAAATCGAAAGTTTTGATAAAAAGGCATTCTAAGAAAGGACTAGTTACTACAAGGCTGTTTCTCTGATCATGATATTTTTGAAAAAGGATGGGATGCAATAAGAACGAGAATCGGCCTCATTTCAGATCTTCTCGAAAGGTATCTAGAATGAAGAGCATATGATTTTATGAGGTTCTGGATCCTTGGGTTCCCTTCATCGATCAGCTTTGACCAATAGCTCCGCGAACCCATTCCAATGTCTTTTTTGTACTTTTCTCAGAATACAACAAGTTTGAAGGAAATTCTTATATACCATTCGATGCAGCTTTAAACGGCGAACAAAACTATCTATTGCTCAATTGTTATGTACACTGCGAATATCTACGTTTTGGGAATATTACTGTTAAAAATAACCTTTTCAGCATAGTCCACGATAGTATTTCAACTTTTTCACTGTGAAAGAACCCAGGTTGCGATTGACATTATATATCAAAAGAAAACTTTTTTAAAACTCTACAAAATGGATGATAATTCGTATCTAGTTACAAGTGCGAACGCTCATTTTTTCGGATATTACTACTGCAAAGTGATATTTTCGGCATCAGCGGATAGGGTCAATCCATATCAAACCTACCACCATTTACATCAGCCTTTGACGTTAATGAGGAGACCTGCCTCGTATTATAGAGCTCATGAATCTGAACCAAATGGTGAAAATAGCAAGTCTCCAGCCTTGTTAGAAAAAAAGTTATAGCCATTTTCCCCTCGCAGATGTTGTGTCAAAATGCCATAGAAAGTAAGGTGCGCGTAATTCAAAGGTTGAGTACTATTTTATTTCTGGCTTTCTTATACATCATTCGATAGAGAATTTCACGTTGATCACAAATATCACCCTCTTAGCCTTCCGAGTGCACGTTTTCACGTAGAAAAATTCGAGATACTGTGAGGGTCTCAAAATCGGAAAAAACTCTCATGTTTCGAAAAAGTTGAATATTTTATTTCCTTTATATTTTGAAGCTTTCAAACGCTATCTTTTCGGATTCAGTATTGAAAACTGAATTCCGTTTCTAAGTTCTCCACATATTACCTGGTCGGTGCCAAAAATTCGTTCCAAGCGGCCGGGAAGGATTCTCGCCGGAAAAACCCTACTTTTTTTCCTTGAAAGATGGAACGTTGAATTTGACGGCATTCGATCCACCACATCGCGGACCACAAACCTAACTATCCTTTTCTCGAAATTATTTTTCTTTCTTGAGATACTAAATTTCCATTTAAATATTGCGATTTTCACGTAAAATCGTGCAGATTATTTTGCAATAACTTTTTCATTTCTTCATATATATTTTTCACAGCTATACTGTTGGATAGCCCTTGAAATTCTCTACAAACTGAGCGTGTCAGACAATCTAGATCGGTTGGTCCGATCATCAAGAACATGTAAAAAACGAGTTGGACCTACGGAAAACGCCTGTAGAACACTCCTTTAGTCATTTTTCTGTCTTAATGAGAAACTAATGTTTTTTAAAAGAATACCATCGGATAGCCCGTGAAATTCTCTACAAACTGAGCAGGTCAGAATATCTAGACAGATGGGACCAGTTATTAAAGGTATGGAAAAGAAGCATTTGGATGTTATATATGCAGTACAGTGTGTCATGATCACAAGAACTCCTTTGCTTTTGATTTTTCAACAAATCTGACTACTGTTTTGAATAGCCCGAAGATTTTTCTATGGGATGAGGTGCACATCGCCATTTTATGACAAAACTTTATAATAGGGTTTCTGGACCTGACCGCTAGAACACCAAGTCTTTGGTTTTTGGTCAAAAATTTTTGCAAACCACATAGCCTGATAGATCAAAGGGTTTTGTGAAAAATATGATATCTCCCGGCTGTCTATAACGCCTTTTCGCCCACTGCGGTCGATTTACGAATGGCTACAAAGGGCGTAAAAATTACCAAAATATTCCGGTGCAAAGGCGTTACAGACACCCGGGAGATATTGTATTTTTCTCAAATTTTTCTTCCCCTAGGAGGCATCCAGAAAACTCCTAGAAAACTTCAACATATTGAGATATCATTCTAGCAACCTCATACATTTGAACTACATAGTTTCGCAAGTTCGAAAGTAAAAACAAAAATTTTTAACTGTTTGGCTTATGCTACCAGAGAAGACCTCTACAAAACCTCTCAAATTCCAGAAATAAAATTCTTTTTATCAAAATTAGTTTTTAGATCGAGAACAATGTGCTGTATTCGATGAGTGCATTTAATAAAAATTTTAAAACCAGTAAGCTCAAAATCCAGGTTTTTCTGAATCCCATTATGAAAGTCAAAATTAAAGAAAACTGTTATTACCATTGGATTCGCCATGATGTATAACCTAAGAGTCCTGACGTTTAAGTTGCAACCCGTTCGTCTAAGCAGTTTCAAGAGAAAAGAAATTATTTTCGAAAAATAGATGTTTAAAAAAGACAAAGAATATAACAAACTGATTTCCGCAATCAAGTTGGTTATAGATCAACTTGATTGCTTCCACAGCAGCAGTTCAATATAATTCGATTTCAAGTTACTTTCATGTTGAAATCAGCTTATAAAATTGTACTGGCGCCAGATGAAATTGGCAGATAAGTTTTCTGATGTTTAATTATTTCAATAGCAGATTCATGTTGATAGTGACTTCGACTCCGAAAACATTTGTAGCGGTGTTGTGATCGGGGACGGATGAGAAGGTGCGGGTGAGAATAGTCACACTGAGATTGAAAGGAAATTCTCAACTCTATCAGCCATAGTATATGTTTTTTTACGTCGTTGTGTCGAACTCCTCAAATACATAGTCTGTTTAAACTGATTCATGAGCATTATCAATACGAAGCAACGAGATTCCAACTGGAGAATTCCGTTGCGACGAGCAATGGAATTATGACTCCCTCCAGGACTTTAGCTTTGGCTCATGGTTTCCGCATAGCTTTTTTGACATTCATCTGTTCGTTCAACTAAATCAGTCAGAATTTGAAAGGCAGACATTTCGTAACCATATCTTGCGTTTTTTTGTGTCTATGGGAAAGGTCAACGTATCAGGAAGTTTTAAGTTTTCCTATCATTTTAACCATCCGCCTAGAAACTTTCGAAGTTTCTGGATTTCAATAGAAGAAACCACCAATCTCATGTTTATGAATTAGCTTTTTTTCTTAGATATACTAAACCAATGGGCATAAGGCTGATTTCTCTTCTCTTATTACTGGTTTTAACAGTCCGAGGCCATAGCGAAGACGATGATCAATATCGAACAAAGATTAAAGGATCGATCAAAGGCGTACTGAAAACAGTTCGAAACATCGTAAAATCTGCTGAAAAATTTGCAGTTAAAATGCTCGATAAACTCGCTCTGAAAACTTCGTTGAAAGCTGGTGAAAAGTTAACAATGAAAACATCAGAGAAATTGGCTGTTAAGTTCGTGGAAAAAGTCGCCTCGAAAGGAGCAGTGAAATTTGTTGGCAAAACAGCTGGGAAATTAGTAAAGAAATTGCCCTACATTGGTGTAGCGGCTGGCGTGGCTTTTGGGATATGGCGAATAATCGACGATTCGGAAGATTGGCAATCGTATGTTCTGGCTGCTGGTGAGTTGAGTTCAGGTGTGGTTTCGATAGTACCAGGAATTGGAACAATGGCCTCAACGGCCATCGATGCGGCTCTACTGGCTTTTGATTTGAAGTATGCGAAACATGAACAACACATACATGAAGAAGAACAAAGACAAACAGAAGTGGATCATGGTAGTGAACTATAAAGTTGTTTGTTCTAAATAAAAGAAAGAACACGAAACACTCTTACTGCTGTGCCGGGTTACAAAAGTGGGAAATCCCTTTTAACTTTTGAACCATACGGTATTTTGATTCCAAACTTTGTGGAAATAATATAAATGGAAAATGTAGGTTCTGGCAAAAGTGTCAGCCCGTGGGTGTGTGTCGTTAGCGAGATATGGGCTATTCAAATATTGAGGCCTTATGTGTTGATTCTCTCGATGCATTTGAGAAAAGGTTTTTCTTTTGCCGTTATTTTGCTTGGTTAGTAAAGTATTTGCAGAAAGAACTTTAGATTCTCTCAGCGTGAGATGGCATAGCTACTGGCCATTTAACGTTTTCGGTATCATGTGCCATTGGATACCATTTTCGAAAAAGATCCGTAGGTTAGACATAATGCGTTAGTTTCGCTCCAGATTTTCGAAAAATACTCACCTTGAACCCGGTACTGTGGTTAAGATTTGAAGAAAAACGTTCCTTGATGAAATGGATGATTAGAAATATGCACGTACCTGAGGGATCTCATGCTCGGAGAATGCAACCGCTTGCCACAAGAGAATCATACATAATTTCCCTTGCATTTTGAAATAGCTTCTGAGCCTCTATCCAGTCTACTTACACGATGTTTTACTCAAACATTTCTTCGAGAACATCACGTAATCAACTTTTGGTATAGAAATATCTCAGGTCAGGTTTCATTCAGTCCCCTCGCATTACGAAAGTCCGGTAAAAAGTAAGGCTTTCGTAACACGTTAAAAAGACATAAGTTGAAAAAAAACAGGGCTTTCGCGAAGATAATGCAAAGAGATTAATGTCTACGTAGATGCTATGACAGGGCTTCCGTAACGAAGTCTGTGTGTACTTTTTACGGTAAAATAGTTGAAGATTAATGTCCTTGTGGCTTTTGTAACGAAGTGTATATTTACTTTTCAAGTTGAAATGATGTGTGATTGCACTCATTCACTCACACTATTTCTGTCTGCTTTCTCTTTCAATTACAATAAGAAGTAACATTCGTTACGAAAGCCCTGTGATAATACAGTACTATCATTTATATCTGGGATAAAAAGCATATATGGATTCCGTTACAAAAGCCGTGTAAAAGAGTCTTACGAAAGCCCTGTAAGAGCATCTACTAGAGATTAATCCCTTGCATTATTGTGACGATAGCCCTATGACTGACCTTAGTGACCGACTATTTCATAGAGAGAATATTACCCGATTAATAGGGTTACGAAGACTCTGTGAAACGAGGGTTTTCGGAACGAAAGCCTGTTATTTTTTTAGTATGGAAGCCCTGTAAAAAAAGAGGGTTTAGATGAAATGCCACCATATCTCATTCTAGTAAGAGAGATTTCTTGTGCATTGGAACGTATAAGTCTCATGACAAAAGTAGATGTACCGAGTTAGCCAAAAAGTATTCAGGAAAGGAATTATATGAACATATTTGACTATTTTCACAAGGTAATTAAAGCTTCTGCAGCAACAAAGATACTGAACAAATCTAAGATGTTATTTATCCTGGTTAAAAATAGTGATGTTACACGTATATCACACAAAAATGTTATTGAATTCCAGGTAACGGTACTTTTCCAGTGAAAATCCCACAGGATTTCCGTCTGTTTCGAAGATTCTTGGCCCTTGACCAAAACCTGACTTTCTAATAACCCACGTCTAGTGCATACAAAATATATGTCATCCCACGTCCTGCAATCCTGTAGAATGGTGGAGCGCGTAAGGTACTCAAACTTTGAAAAGCGAGGAAAATCACCTCTAAAAGTTGTTTTTCTAGCATTAAGTGTTTTCTAATCTCTGCTCGAACCACTTCATCAGATAGAGCCTGAAAAGACACGTCGAATATATATATCTTGTTGTTTTATGTTGATATGATGTTATGAAGAAAAATGGTTTTCAAAGAAAACCTACTTTTTGGATAAAAGGATTCTTTTAAAAATTTTCCTGAGAACGTGCTTAACATTTTGTCCACTAGTGATTTTGTAGCTCTGCACACATAAAATCTAATCTGCCGGTACCAACTCATGAAAGTGTTCCACCAGAAAATGGTGAAAATGCCTACAAAAGGGCTGTTTCGCCTGGAAATGGGATTTCCACAGGTCTAGAAGATCACCATACCATTATTTTAAATTTTTTGAAACGTGATATTCGTCGTAAGGAGCCCGAGTTGTACTAGTTCTGTTACTCTCGAATAATTCGGACAAGGGTGATGTAAACATGGTACGTTTTCGGAAGGACAACCCTATTGTTGTTAGCACGAAATACTGCGTTCATCTTATGAAGAAACATTTTAGAGATTCAAATAGCTTGCTAATATTATCGAGAGCCGATATTGACGTTGCTATCACATGAAGGGACTGTTGTATTTCGTTCAATATATTTATGCGTATCACAATTTTTTGGATTTATAAGCAGGTGTAAAGTAACAATCAACCTAGTAAGCAGAACGATGTCGCATCGTTAGAAGATAGAGAGGAAGTTTAGAATTAATAGACTTAGATTATGTGCTGTTTGCAGGCCAAAAATGTTACGCAGGAGTTCAGACAGCCTAATGCATTGACTTTGCTGAACAATCCGGCCCGCATGGATTATCCAATACATGTGAACTCCAACGATCTGAAAATGACTCTGATGCATTCGCTGTTGTGTTCCATCGGTATTTTAACATCCAAAAGCATTCAAATTACATGCCATATATTAGACCACATATGTTAGACCAAAAGGCTCGGTAAAGCTAGATAATAGAAGAAAAGTCTATTAGGGCCCTTTCAGATCAATTACTGGCAATAACAGAATTACTGACACTTTATTCCTCGTTGATGTATACAATTAGCTGCTTTATAAAAGATCCAAGTTCATTGAAAATGGCGGCGATCAAATCGCCTGATATCCTGTACATCATTTAGTTGCAACTCGTACTTACACGCTTTTTCATATGCATCAAAACCGTATAAACGAAAATGTTTAGATAATTAATTTGCATCAAATCGATTGACTCAAACTTAACTGAATTGTGACAAATCGACAAATTCATTTGTGGTGGTCATTCGTTACTGGCAATGGAAATAACTGCAAAAATTTATGAAGAATTTAGAGTTCAAGTGACCATTCCGTCATTGTTTCAATCTCCTACCATATCTGATTTTATCAACTTAGTAACGAAAATCACCGAGCAACAAAATCCACAACCAACATATGTCAGTAAGACATCTGTACTACCTTATCAACGAGCCAAATTAACACGAACACAACAACAATTTTGGTTATTTTGGAGAATAAAGCCTGATAATTGTTACTACAATGTACCGATGGCCATTGAAATACATGGTATGGTAAATAAAGACGCACTTAGCCAAAGTCTTCAATGTTTAGTGGAACGATATGATGCTCTCCGTATAGTATGTTATGAACAAGATGAGGGTTGTTTGAGGGTAAGGGTGAGGGGTGATTTGGCAAGAAGTCAATTCGAATTATGTGTTGCCATTCATAGAAGAAGACATAATTACACATACATCCGATCATAAAAATATATTTCAAATACCATATGTTCTCGAACGTGTTCAGTTTCACACCATGAAATCTTTTGATCTTAGACTATCTTGGACCCGCGTGTCAATTTGCTCTACTTAATTTATGCCTTGAAAAATCCGTAGAAGAATTAGAACAACAAACACATATACTAATCTTAAATTTTCACCACATTATCTGTGATGGCTCATCGGCAAACAAATTTGTCAATGAACTGTTTTAAACTATATGACGTCAAAACGTCAACGATATCTACAAATAAATTGCCAAGTCTTACGCTTTCATTTATCGAATATGCCAATCAATACAATCACTTATCATTGAAGCATAGCATAAACAAACAAATAGAAAATACCGTTTCAAATCTCAAAGATTTTCAATATTTAAATCTAGAAACAAACGTTAATAATGAAGATCACGATGTTAGTCATCTTTCGTACGTATCTCGTTTAACGATTAACATCGAATTAGCTGAAAATCTTCTTAAACTAGCTGTTGAAAATGACTGTACGCTCTACACATTAGTATTAACAATATTCAAATGTGTTTTATCGGTATTCAGCCATAATTCAACAGATATTGTCATTGATACTATTATTTCAACACGATCTCAACCATATGTCACAGGTTTATTTGGTCCAATGATCAATACCTTAGCGTTGAGAACACGTTTACCTGATACACCCGAAACCACATTCATTGATGTGTTCAATACAGTTAAACAGACTCTATCGTTTGCAATGGAAAATCATGAATGTCCGTTTGCTGATATCGTTAATTGTTTAAGACAAGTGAGCAGTGATAAAAGCCTTCTAACATATATGCCGCTATTTCGAGTTATCTTTGAAATGAACGGTTACGATATGATCAATTCCGAAAAGAAATTTAGTGATAGAACAACCTGGACGAGTTTCAGTGATCATAGTCTGTTATCACCGTATACTAAATCTGTTACTGATTTTCAAGTAACTGATCATGGTGCAGCACAAGAAATTTCTATGTTATTTGACATCAATCGTGCTATTTTTGAGGAAAAAACAGCTGAAAAGTTATGTGCTTGTTTTGTAACAGCTATTTATTGTGTTGTTAAGAATCCAACGTGCCTGAAAAATGATCTGTGGAAGGAAATTCAGCAAACAGGATCAAATATACAAACTCCTTTGACTATACATGAGTGTTTTAATCAGCAAGCAGTATGTGATCCAACAGCAGAAGCGGTAGTTTACAAAAACATTCGGTGGACTTACGCAGATTTGTTACATAGAGCTGTGCAAATTGGAGCTATTCTTCAACAGGATTTCAATGTCACACAACATACAATCGTTGGTCTCTGTATGAAACGTTCACCCGATCTTATTGCTTCTATGCTTGGAAGTTTGATGGTCGGTTGCTCTTATGTTATACTCAGCTACCATCTTAACGGGCTTACATTATGCTCAATGATACAATGTGCAATTTGGTTCTATGTGACGAAGATGGAAATGAGGCCGTTCTTCGTCGGATAAATGAGGCACACAAATTTCAAACAATTTTAATTACTGAACTCTATTCTACACTATCGCGCATAATTCCAGTTTCAGTTAAACAAACGGATTATTGTTACAGCATTTATACATCAGGCTCAACCGGACGTCCAAAAGGCATTACAATTCAACATCAAGCGGTTGTGCGTCGCATACGCACAGATAATCAATTTATAAACATCACGCCTTACGGTAGAACTGCTCAACTCACATCATGTAGCTTTGATGTTTATATTCTTGAAGTCTATGGTGCACTATTGAATGGAGCACTTCTCATTATCTATGATAACAATTACTTATTTCAACCGAAACTGTTAGCATTTATGTTTCAATCAGATAAAATCAGTCATGTATATATCCCAATACCAATATTTAATATGCTTGTTGAACATGTTCCTGGTGCATTTGGTGGTATGGACTGTATCCTGTTTGCCGGTGATCGTGCTAATCCTCGACTGATGAGAAACGTTCTAGTTCAAAGTCAACCATCACCAAAGCAATTAGTAAACGTATATGGACCAACAGAGATAACGTGTATTGCCACTTGCTATCAGGCATCTATCGAAAGCTTAGACAAAATTATCAGGCATGGTAGTCAAGTTCCAATTGGTATCCCTCTACCGAGCACATCGGTTTATAGCGTACGTCATTACAGTTTGGATTTGACCTCAGACGATGATGAAGGAGAATTATTAATTGGAGGGTTTGGTGTGAGCGACGGCTATTTAAAAATGCCAGAAAAGACCGCACTCAGTTTCATTCCAAATATATTTGAAAACAATATTGATCATCTATATCGTACAGGTGATATTGTAAAGCAGTTACGTGATGGAAATATAAGTTTTATTGGGTGGTTAGATGATCAAGTGAAAATAGCTGGTTACCGTATCGAATTGTCAGAAATCGAAATCTTATTAAAAATCATCCAGCAATTGTTGATGCATTAGTAATGGTGAGGAACGATATCGTGAAAGACGCACAATCACTTATAGCGTACGTGAAGCTGAACTCAGATTCGACTAAGCTGAAAATCATTAATCTCAAACAATATTTAACTGAACATCTACCAAATTATATGGTACCTACGTTCATTGTTCAAGTGAATAGCATGCCGATCGGTATTGGGGGTAAAATCAATTATCAAGCATTACCTAAACCCAACGTTGGGAACATAAATGAACAGGAAACAATAGCATTGCAAACGTCAATATCGGCATATGAGAAAATCAACAATGCTTGGGCTACAGTACTTAGTCGCGATTCTAACAACACCTTCTCGTACAACGATGATTTTTTGCTTGCGATGGAACATCTATTAGCGTGGTACAATTACACGCAACCCTAGAAAAGCTATTTGAAACATCATTAGATATTATGAAATTATTTCAATTTACAACGACGAAAAGCCAATTAAAAATTAAAAATTTCATCAGAGTTATCTGACACAGATATTGCCATAATCGGTATGTCTGCACGTTACGGACTATTAGAAAATTCATCTGAGTTCTGGCATACACTAGTCAATAGAACTGATTATTGTTCCCATGTATCAACTGAAGAACTAAAACAATCAGGTTTTGAACAACTATTGAAACAGAATCCGAACTATGTCTATGCTGCGTGCACGATGAAAAATGCGAATTGCTTTGACCATGTATTTTTTGAGATATCAAAACGGGATGCAACAATAACCGATCCACAACATAGAATATTACTTGACTCAGCCTATGAAGCGCTTGAAGATGCTGGTTTAGTGACAGACAAGTATTCAGGCACAATTGGTATGTTTGCTGCTGTTTATCGAGACACTAATGCGGATTATTATAAACTATTTCAAGCAAATCCACTCGAAATTTTTGATGAGGCAAGAGAACAGAGTGACATCTCGATGTTTGATCCAGCTACAGTAATGCGTGTTGAGATTGGAAACATGATTGATGGTGCAGCAACATTTATTGCGTATAAACTCGATTTAAATGGACCAGCGATGGCAATCCAAACAGCTTGTTCATCCTCTGGCACTGCACTACATGTGGCACTTCGCAGCATCGAAGCAGGTGACTGCAATGTAGCCATTACTGATGAAGTTTGCATCACATAACAATTAGACAGTGGATATAATTATCAACCTGGGATGGTTCTGTCGAAAACTGGTTTCTGTCGATCATTCGATGAACAAGCTGCTGGGGTAGTAGGTGGAGATTGTGCAGGTGTTGTGGTTCTCATGAAAGCTAAGGCTGTTAAACTCGGTTATACGATTCGTTGTTTAATTAAGGGACATGCGGTCAATAATGATGGACGAAAGAAGACGTCTTGTTCAGTAACTAGTCCTGATATACAAGCACAATGTATGAAAAAAGCTTTGACAATGGCCAATATTAATAATCCAACACATGAGATTAGCTATATTGAAGTACATGGGCCAGGTACATAACTTGGTGACCTTCTTGAAGCACAGGCATTAACTAAAGCATATGCAAAGGGTAACGAAAATGACAATAGAACTTATCTTGGTTCAATTAAAACAAATATTGGTCATGCAGCAAGTGTTGCCGGCTTCATTAAAGTGGCAACAAGGCAACAAGTAGGCAACAAGTAGGTTAGAGGAAGCGTGGGCAAAAAAGTGATCGGACCCCAACTGAGTAGAAGATCAACAGTGGCTTCAGTCAATTTGTAACAGGCTTTTGTGTGAAGTGCGATAGGCGAAAAGGTTACCCAGAACATGCATTGATTGAAAGAGAGAAAAGCAAAGACGAACAAGACCAGAATCGCTGCGGATAGACGCGAAAAATTCAATTTTCGTGGATCAGATGCACCTAAGGGCTCTTGCGACTACATGGTGCGATGGAGGTGGCTGAGGGTGAAGTTTTTCTGCACCTCGTAGTCTTAAAGACAGAACGATAAGAAATTTCAACACGCGCGTCATTCCTCCTCCCTCTCATCTGGCTATCGGACGCATCTTTTCTCTTTTCTCTGCTTTTCTTCCGACCGCGTTGCACACACCCGAGTCATGCGTTTGTACACGTGAGTCATAGTTACGCGTAACTGCGTCGCAATTCGACCGTAATCGAACACATGGGTTGATCTCACATTTATACCATAGATAGATCTAGTGTTTTGATGCCTGCCATGAAAGTTTCAGCGTTTTAGACTGAGAATTCGTTGAGAAAGGTACAGGGTGGTCAAAGAAAAACTTACCCCTTTTTGTAATCATGTTTCTGCTCCTCTATAATTAACTTTTTGATCCAATTCTTTTTGTAACAGATAGAGCTGAGAAAGGCCTATTAGATGAAAATATTTTCATTTTGAAAACGATCCAGCGTAAGTGAGGATAAAAAAGAAATTCATGCAATCTGTGCCTAAACGGTAGACCTTGATCGGAAAGCGAGAAAAAAGCTCTCACTAATAGTTACATCTGGTATAGCTATAGAGTTAGGTACTAGTATAACTAGTATACTCATTGCGGAAAAATTTAGATCAAAAGCGAATTTTTTTTAAAAGATTTTTTTTCTTTTCATAGAATTATTTAACTTTGATGCAAATTTCTGTTCCATGCTGCTTTATTGTATTTTACTTTATTCTAATTATAAAACCAAAATCTATCAACAATTTATACATATTGTTGTAGCCACCATAGCGCCCTATCTGTAGCTTGTAGTTGATCGTAAATAAACTCAATCCAACTGATGAAATAACCAAGTCAGTACATCGCTGTATGCAAAAACTATGGAATACTGGTATTGTACGGATATTTTAATAATAGTAGCAAACTAGAAATAAGTCAAAATGATTTATATGTGTACTTAAGCTGTAAACGTTGAAAAACGTAGCCTGAAATTTCATTTCATAATATAGTTCGTTATTGAATTATTGAATTTTTACAAAACATCAAAAATAGCAAAAATTGAATTCGTTCTGGAATAGATTTCATATTTAATGAAATTTCTTTTTTATCTCCACTTACGGTGGATCGTTTTCGAAATGAAAATATTTCCATCTAGCAGGCCTTTCCCAGCTCTATCTGTTACAGCTTTATCTGTTTGTATTTCGACATTCAAAGAATCTTTTGAAACACAAAATGACAAATCTATGTGGAAAATTTCAGTTTTGAACACTGGAAAATAAGGAAGAAAAGGATCTAGCAAAAAAAATGAGGAATGACTTTTTCGATAAATGGCGTTCGAAAGAGCGCAAAAAGTTACCCATAGTACTAAAATATTAGCCTTTTTCAACAATGTCTTCTGGAGATGTGGAGATACTACTTCACACATCCATCCACAAGTCGACTTCTGATCCAGATGTAAGAAGTTGTATCACCGTATCTCCAGAAGACATTGTTGAAAAAGGCTAATATTTTGGTTCTATGGGTAACTGTCTGAGCTCTTTCGAACGGCACAGACAATATCGAAATCAAAAAATTTTCATTTTCAACCTCCAGCCGTCTGGGAAGTGGTGGAAAATGGCAGTTACATTCATCAAGCTGACATTGGGAGCTGCGATTGATCACTTCGTAATCTTCATGCTTCCTTCTATACTTCGTCAGACAAGAAAAAATACACTTATACTTCATAAGTCCTATGAACGATTCATCAGCGCTTTATTCCATCGTATATATACGAAGTGTTTCGAAAATCGTGGGTGATACAGTCGAATATAGAATCATCTAGTTGTACGATGCAGTGTAAAGCCTGAAGTTTTAATTAAAACGGATCCTGCAGTGTCAAAATGTCAAAAGCACATTTTCACAGTAGTATGTCTTTTGTTTTATTTATTGCTCAGCTAATGGAATCTCTGAATGTCGAATGTTTTAGACACTTTGACACCACCTTTTAATTAAAAGTTAAGGCATACAGGAAATCGCACATGGGATATATATATATATATTAAATACGTTCTCCTCTTATTTCTAAATGATACAAGATTAATAATGAACTATTCTACTAGCAACTCTAACAGTTCCAGCAGTCTATACCCATCCGCACAATCGGCTGTTCTATTCGCCTCGGTTGCTGCAAATATTTATCTATATGGCTTTGGTATGACACTTGTGTTCGGCAGCGTGGGGCATATTTGCAGCATTTTAACATTTTCGCGCAAGAGCCTACGTTGCGTTTCAACAAGTCAATTGTTCATTTGTTTAACATTGTCCGATGTTATCTATCTGATGATGACAGTTTATGACTTCATTACTGAGGGTCTTCAAATAGCGAATCAGAGTCCACTTTATGAAGAATTATGTCGATTTCGCATATTCATTTATGGGTGGTCAATGGTATGTTCTGCATGGCTGTTGGTCCTTATCAGTTTAGATCGGTGGATAAGAACGGAATACCCTCATCATACATCGCGAATATGCACGACGAAGAATGTTTGTATGGCTGTAGCTGTGCTGAGCGTAGCTTCAGTTGGCATCAATAGTCACATGCTGACACCAATGTTTGGCACAGTCTTGCCTTATCTGAAGAATGTGTGTGGACCACGTTATTCATACACAAATTATTACGCATTTTATGTTACGGATTGGACAATACTACAAATTTTACTCACCTCGCTGCTGCCGGCATTATCAATGGTCCTTCTTCTTGCTCGTATCTATTCTAATACTCGTCGAAAGAACACAATCAATTTCACCGCTACAACAACAGCTAGTGTTAGTGTTCGCAAGAATAACCTTAGAAGCGAACGTTTACAATGGCAAATTTTACTTCTAATGGTATCAACTATTTTTCTTTTTATCTTGACAACGATTCCAAACTCCACTTACCGTATTATCACCTTGAAAACGCTCAGTATAACCACTGTTGAAGGTACACCATTTCTTGTTTATTCAGCTTTATTCACAATTTTATTGGCAATCAATTATTCAATGAATTTTTACATACACTGTATCACGTCTAAACTGTTTCGTCGAGAATTCTTTGGTTTATTTTCTCACCGCTTTGGTAGACGTGTTTTTCCTCAAACAAAAACCCGAACACGAACTGAACAACGCTCAAACTTTCAGTTAATGGCAATGAAATACCAACATTCTCGACAAACAGGTACGAATATGTAAGCACAGAATAACTCCGTGGTTAAAACGGGGTGTCTTGACGAGCAATTGAACATTGACTTCCATCGAATACAGATCGATGACACGTGCGTTTTTTTTATTAAACATGTAGTATACTATGAATTATATAATTACGCAATTAATAATGAAACTACTACCTTCTCTTCAATGTAGTTTGTTTTAATCTTGTTTATTGATGTTTGAATAGAAAATCCAAAAAGTACAAGTCACGAAAGTGGATCGAGGATCCCCACGCACGTAGTCACAGTAAAACAATCTAGTTTTCGAAGCAGACGTGCTATACTCAATTGGTTGAAAGAATTTTCTCTAATTCGTAGAACTAAAACTAACTGTTTAATTTTAGTTTTAGACAGGCTTTGGTTTGCTTGAATATTTTCGAGTTTTTCCATGGAGGTTGTTTGATTAATAGACCGAGCATTTTACGACTAATGGGAGGAACCATTAGAGGAAAAACGCCGTATGAAACGCTCAATTTTAGGACTTCTAGGAAAATGCTTGTAGCTTTTTAACGCAAGGTCATACAGGGTTGAGCGAGATCTTATTTTGATCAGAAAAGTCGAGAAGAACATTATCCTTTTGGGTACTTCAGATTATGTTTACATTCGTGTCATCTATCTGGTACAAACTCTATTTTTTACTAAACATTCAGTATAAACTAGCACATGGCAACTAACGGATGTAACAGAAATAAACGCACTTTTTTATTTTCACTATAACTTCGTCGGGTTTCGTCCAATCGACTTAAATTTTTTTTTATTAAATTCGTCTTGGAAATCTCTACAAAAATATCTAATAACTAGTTTTCTAACAAGAAAATTGTTAGAGTTGTGGAACCAAAAATACGACGATTAAAAACACCAACTTCATAAGGCAAAAAATGATTTTTAAATATCATCGTAACAGTCAAAGATAGGAGAAATTCGAGACGACCATTCGAAAGAGCACAAAATTCTCTACAAAACTGTGGTTTCAAAAAAAAATTGGATAACTCTAGAGCCCGCAATAGCAAGGAACAATTTTTACATTTTCTAAAAAATCACCATTTTGGAAACAGATTTTTGCTCGCTCCACGAAAAGTTCGATAACTCAGCCAAAAATCGTGCTTTTTTTAACATTTTTTTTTTATTTTGTAGCCCGTAGTGTAATCAGTTCGACAACGTCACTTTTGAGAATTTTACGAACTGTCTGCTTACTCTTTTTGACTCAGAAAATCAAAAAACGCGTTTTTTTGGCTCCGTTATAAAACGTTGATTTTTTGAGCTGCCTGTGTTGATGTTAAAAATTTTTGGCATGCACTAGAAAGAGCATACTTTAAAGTAATAGTATCAAGCAGAATCGAAGCCCTCAATTCAGTTACAGTTTGAGAAAATGTCAAAGAAAGTATAAAAAGTATGATTTATGAAGGTGACGTTTTTAGTCACCCTCGCTTTTTGTTTTATAACTCTAACAGTTGTCATTTTAAAAAACTTGTTAAGAGATATTTTTGTAAACGATTTCATGGCGAATCTTATAAAAAAAATTTAAGTCGACCGCATATTATCCGACGAAGATATACGGAAAATAAAAAAGTGCGTTTATTTCTGTTACACCCGTTAATATGCGTCGTTCACAATTAAATGATGCTCACCCATGTGCTGTTGCTAAATTATCCAAAATTAGAACATCGCTCTTTTGCCACGACCATTGGATTTGATGCTCCTTTAATATTTGTCTGATATGTGTCGAGTAAATGTCAGGTATCATTTGTCCATCTCCAAAAAAACAATTTTTCGCCATATCCATTGGGTCAGGACGCTTTTCAGTTGTGTGTCTAACTGATAGCTCTAGATCACTTGGAAGAAATAAATGCGCATGATTACACCAAAGCCAATCACCACCGATTGGATGTTTTTTAACAGTATCTACTTTTCGAATTGTACGTAATCGATCGTTCGGTAGCCATGTAAAATCGATGTGTTTTTCTTTTAAGAATGTTTCAACATCTTCTTTCGACTCTGTTTGATATGTCTCTTGCCATGATTTGCCTAATCCTTTGTTGCGACTAGGCATATTTGTCATGTATATTAACTTTCTCTCAATAAATTCGGTAAGTATATTGTGATCAACCGATTCGAATATCGCTCGTGAATCGCCGATTGGTGTTTGACCAGTGTTCTCAACAGGCGGAATTTCACAAAAGAAAAATATTATTGACGGCATGTTGGTGGAATAAGACATTTCATTGTGCAATGACATATTAACATGCTTTGGATATTCCATTGATATAAATACTTTTGTCGTAAGTCGTGTTCTTGGTGATATACCATCACGATAGTCTAGAAATGACTTATTACTATCAGTAAATGATTCTACAACCCTTGAAAAGTGTTCGGCTGTTATGACATCAAAACCACAGAATAGCAGTGCGCCATATTGATGCAATTCATCTAACAACTGCTGCTTTGAAATTGAAATAAATTGTAATAAAACTTCTAATGATTTTTCGCGGATTGATTCGTATACTTTTGGCATTCCTGCTGTTTTATCAAGAGTATAATTTTGAATGTTATTTAGTGCTTTTACCGGAGCACTATCAGTAGTCAATTCTTGGATTCGCTCTGCTAAACTCTTGATATTTGGATATTTATAAAGTATATCAATGTCTACATCTTTTCCAACAGTTGCGACAGCAGATCAATCAATGTAATCTCCTGTAAAGAGTCAATACCTAAGTCATCAAAAAATGTCTCTACGGATATGCTTGTTGATGGAATTCCAAGTAATTTAGAGAGGCAGCTTTGAACGATATTCATGTAGTCAAGTGTACTATCAGACGTGAACACTGTCTTGACGATTTTTTGATAGAGGCACTCCAATATGGGTTGTTTAGATGCTATTAACAATGCCTTATCGAAATTTATTCGGATTACTGGGAGCAGTTGTTCTGTTTGACAAAATCGTGCGATATCGTCACTGAAACTTTTTCGAAGCGCTTGAATAATCGTAGTACAACTATGATTTTCATTGCAATAGAGTATCATTAAAAGTTTACTCATATCATCAAGTGTACTTTGAATACCACAAGCCGGATAATAAGTTTCCAGACCGTAATTTACGCACGTATTGAATAGTTCTAATGGACCAGCAATCTTTTCTTGAAACAAATCGTCATACGATGTATCGTGAAGAGCCGCGAGCGCATGTCCCAACAATGAGATAGCCAAAATACTTGGTTTCTCCGTTGATAGATTGTCTAACGTTTTCAGCGCCAATAACAAATCGTTAGGTGACTTACAATTTTGTTTAGCATAATCTGGCAGTCCGCTGCTGTGACACGCTAAATCGTTAATCGCTATACGTTGCACTTCCAACGGTACATCATGAAGACTTTGTTCTGGAAGTACATCAATAAGTTTTGCATCTTCCTGTAGCATATTTGTCTGTACGGCTTCATAATACAAGGCTCTTGTTAATGCAGAACTTGCAAATCCAAGGGGTAGTACATGATCAGACAACTGCAAATTTGAGCCTGTTAATCGAACATCTCCTAATTTAAAATCAAGTAGCCTAATTTCACAAGCATCCTCTTTAAAAGCCGGAGGTTTTTTCGCTTTCCATGGAACTTTTTTTTCACGATCCATTTTTAAAGTTACGTTCCGATGTTTTTCTTTTTGAAGATAATTTTTAAGTGTTGCTGTCGTTTCGCCATGCGACAGACAAATATTTTCAGACGGCAGTAATTTTTCATTACGTTGAAATAAATTCGATTGTTCATCTAACTCTGTGGCTTGAAAGGGTAGCAAAGAACTTGCACGAGTTCTGCAAGCAGAGATGCAGAAACTGGCATCTCAGTATTTAAAGAGTTTTCCGTCTGACTAGATGTTAATTTATAGTCCTGAAGAGAAATTGTCCTATTTCGAAACTGTGATTGATACCTTTCCTTTGTTGAACGCAGAATATTATCTGCGACACAGACAATTTTTTTGAATGGATACGTTGGTAATTATATACGCCTTAAATTATTCTTATACTGAAAATAGTCTGACCATGAAACCGGCACACCAAATGACCATAGGGAGCCCAAACAACGCAAAAATTTTATTGAATTATTCAGGGCTAACGGCGAGGAAATGACAGGTGCGTCCGGTTTTATGTGTCGAACATTAGCGGTTAAGACTTTTCCAGGGCCGACTTCCAAAAATAAGAGGGTTTGTTGTTCCTCCAGTGATAAACGTTCAATAGACGGTCCAAATAACACAGTGTGTTGAAGATGATCGATCCAATAATCTGGTTGTATTAATTCATCACTATTTACAATATCACCGATAACTGTTGAAACGATCCGCATGTTCGGTTTTTTGTAATGGAATGTGTTGAGTGACACTTCTGAGTTGCTCGCATATCGGTTGCATTAATCTAGAGTGGAATGCATTAAATGTATTTAGTACTTTAATATTACGACTCGTAAAACGTAATTTTTCTTTCATACTTCAATATTCTGCGCATGACCCGAGTAAACGTACTGAGTTTTTGTATTGATTGCTGCTATATCAACGTCAAATTCCACCTTCAATTGCTTTGCGTCTTCTTCGTCAGTTACTTGTACTGCGATCATCGCACTCTTTGTTGAAGTCGTTGTCATTAACTGGCAACTTTTAACTAGAATTTCCAAAGTATTTTCAATTGTGAAAACATTAGCCAAACAAGCTGCAACGAATTCATCGGTGCTGTGTCCAATCAAATAATCCGGTTTTACATTTAACAACAGAAATAGACGCGCTAGACTGTATTCGACAATAAATAATGATATTTGTGCACACTGACTTAGCAAATCCCCATTATCGAACCTTTCGTTTAATAAACAATTTTTAACAATATCTTGAATAGTTGCTTCATTAAGTAAACTCAAATACTCGTCAATTGTTTGAGACCATTGAGGAAGACAGTCATAGATAAGGTGCCGGAAATTCAAAAGGTTAGTGATAAAATGAATCTGGTCGAATTATACATGGTTGGATAGAACACATCAAGAATATCACCTTTAAAGATTTTTGACGTCAACTATACAGCAGAAAACTTGTAAAAACAGAAAAACGTGAAAAATCGACTGTTTCTGAGAAACCGCATGGTTTCCCCACTTTGCTGACCTCGAACAATTTTCTGCTTATTTTATTTGGATTCAGCATCAAATGCTGAGTAGATCAGAGTGACTTTGAAAAAATTTCAAGTCA